TAAAATTAAAAGTATTATATAGCAACAACACAATAGAAATAACTAGGTAATGACTTAAATAGAACAATGTATTCTTTAATTATTTGCAAATATATTCAATCTCCCTAATAATCAAGGAAATTAAAAGCAAAACGAATGGTTCTGTGGTTCCAATCCATATAAATATGTGTTGTTGTTAAAGGAAAATGTATTTAGGCATGGCTCTGTGATTAGTGCATGGCTTCAGACAATTTCTCTCAGTAATAGACAGGTCCTAGTCTCATTGGGTTGCTTTATTAAAATGATACTTTTGTTGTCATAGAAAAAAAAAATTCTGAGGTCAGTACTAATATCACATCTTTAACAAAACTTAAGTGGTCATTTCCCCAAATTACTAAACCTTTGCAATAATTTTATTGCAATGTTGCACCACATAGAACAATAGTTTTTACATGGGTCAGCATTTTATGGATGATCAGGAACACTTAAAAAATGAACCAAGGAAGGAAAGACTACCAACTTTGATAAATGAAGAAAATATGGCTGAAGTCCAAAAACTGGTGGAAGAAAACTATAGAATAATTTGTTAATGCTGTAGCTATTGATGTTGGAATCTCATACAGTTCAAGATTTTCAATTGTAAGTATATATTGCTTCAATGATCTTTCAGTTCAATGGGTGAGTGCCAAAATAATTTTGCAATGATCAGCTAGTTCAGAGTTAGTTTTTCCATCAATCTTTTAAGGAAGGCTGAAGTTAATGAAGGCAATTTTATGGAATTAGTAGTAACTGAAACATGCCTTGGATTAATGATACAATGCAGAGAACAAGTTCTAATCAAGACAGTGGCTTCATAGAACATCTCCTAGGCTAGTTAAATTCAAAGCAGGGATGTCAGCTCAGAAGGCTAAGGGGACAGTTTCTAGGGGGACCCCAAGGAATAATCTTGATAGATTTTCTTGAAGGACACAGAACAACCACAATGGTTTATAACAAAGAAGTTTTATGAAAATTGAAAACTGTTGCTAAGTAAAAGGCCAGGAAATTTGCACCAAGGAATTCTTTTCCACTATGACCATGTGCCTGCTCATCCTTTAAGGATAGAAAGTACTGTCCTATGATAATTTAGTTGGGGATTTTTACCCCATCCAGCAGAAGGCCCTGATCTTGTCTCTTCAGACATCTTTTGTTCCTAAAACTCAAAGAACATTGTCAAGAAACATGAGTAATTCACTTGAGGACTCCAAAAATACTATTTTGAAGTATAAATCAATGAGCACAAAACACTTGGAGGAAGGCTTGTTGTTGTTGTTTTTAAGTGCCATTGAGTTGGTTCTGACTCATAGGAACCCTGTATAGGGTTTCCAAGGAGCAGCTGGTGAGTCTGAACCACCGACTTTGTGGAGGAAGGGTTAGAGAGATGAAACACCATCTTCAGAAGTGCAATAGACCTAGACAGAGGATGTGTCAAGAAACAGTAGCTTCATAATTTAATATTTTTGTTTAATAAAGAATTCTATGACTGATATATGAAAATTGAAAACAAAGAGGAAAGATCAGTAATAGGAAAATATGGCTTTGGTGATTGAAATGATGCTGTAGAATCCATGATAAAATTTTGCTTGACCAATGACCAATTCACTGAAATTACCTTTTTTCAATAACATAAACAGTGACCATACACATGTACCTCCCCAGGGGGTTTGCAAAATAATAAAATTGACTGCATCTGTGGGAAGAGCTGATGGAGCAATTCAGTATCAGCCAAACAAGGCCAGACTATAGAATAGATCAATTGTTCATATACAAGTTCAAACTGAAAATGAAGAAAATTAAAACAACGCCACGAGTGCCAAAATATGACCCTGAATATATTTAATCTGAATTTAGGACTGTATCAAGATCAGATCTGATGCACTGGATGTAATGACCAAGGGCCACTGCTCTAATATAATGGAGTAACATGATCTATATTTAGCATAACCACCCTAATAAGCTTTCTCAAACTGCCCAAACTCGGCATCTTCAGAGATCATTCTGTTGTATCTATAGTCATTGAACCTAATATCTAATTATTTATGGAATTCATCATAGGGTTGTAATGATATGTTTTCATGGTTCTCTTCACTTCCAGATCTGCAGTCGTTCCATGAGAATAGAAATGGCCCTTCTCATATTTGTTCCAAGTATACACTTGAGCAATTATAAAACCATCAAAGGTGCTTCAGAAACTCATTCATGCAAGCATGTTTAAATAAATGTTCTTAAAAACACTAAAACAAGCACACAAAAAATGTTTACGCTCTATCATCTTTATTATTATGGAGGTGGTGTTATGTGCTGTGGCATTGGTTCCAA